ACAAACACTACCCCCTACCCTCTCCTCCTCCTCCTCCTCCTCCTCCTCCTCCCTCCTCCTCACGACAAAAAAAGACACAAAATAACCGAACAGTCAGACTCAGGGGGTGCACCTTGGAGATAACTCCTGTCATCTGCAGCACGACGCCCAGAAGGCTCCCGCCTGCCAGGCTCCATCAGGTTCACGAAACAGGCTCAGATTTTTGTTTGCTTAGGGTTTAGGGTTTAGGGTTTAGGGTTTAGGGTTTAGGGTGTAGGGTTTGGGGTTTGGGGTTTCGGGTTTAGGGTTTAGGGTTTCGGGTTTAGGGTTTAGAGTTTAGGGTTTAGGGTTTAAGGTTTCGGGTTTGGGTTTTGGGTTTAGGGTCATGAGTTGAAACCCTAAACCCTAAACTTTCCTTAAACCTTAAACGCTAACCCTAGACCCGAAACCCTAAACCCTAAACCCTAAACCCTAAACCCTAAACCCTAAACCCTAAACCCTAAACCCTAAGCAAACCCCCCCCCCCAGTAGAGAAGTTCAGGGATTGGAGTCTTGGGGGCACGAAGGCGAACCCTAAACCCCAAACTCTTTGAGCCCCTTTGGTGAGGTTACTGGGTTACTGGTTCAGAACATAGATGATGTTTCCAGAAGGGAGCAAGATTGTTCCTAGTTACATACAATACTTAATATATCTAGATGTTCATTATTATATTGATGTATATTCACGTATGTATGTTGATATGTCTATGCTTGTAGCTCAGAAGCCAGCAACAGCCCTACAGGTTAGCGTCGTAAAGGCTCTAGGGCTTGGGGTTCAGGGCTGAGGGTTTAGTGTTTAGGGTTCAGGGCTTAAGTTCGTAGACGATAAGATACACATTTCGCTTGGGGGAGGCTGGGTGATGGGATGGTCCCCTTGTGTCCTTACAGTTTAAGAACCCTAAACCCTAAACCCCAAACTCCAGACCCTAAAGGGTAAACCCTAAACTCCAAACCCTAAACCCCAAACCCCAAACCCCAAACCCTCAACCCTAAACCCTAGACCCTATACAGAGCTTGGGAGAGGCTGGGTGAAGAACCCTGAGCCCCTAAACCCTAAACCCCAAAGCCCAAACCCCAAACTCCAAACCCTACACCCCAAACCCTAAACTCCAAACCCAAAACCCTAAACCCTAAACCCAAAACCCTAAACCCTAAACCCTAAACAGAGTCCTGAGTCCCTGCCTGACCAGGCCCCATGCCGAGAGACGATGATCAGAACCTCGGAGGCTTCAGGGCGCGTGGATTCCCCGAGCCCTTAACCCTCTCAAGGGTTTAGGGTTTAGGGTTTAGGGTTTAGGGTTTAGGGTTTAGGGTTTAGGGCTAGACCCTAAACCCTAAACCCCAAACCCGAAACCCCAAACCCCAAACCCTAAACCCTAAACCCCAAACCCTGAACCCTAAATCGCCTAAACCCGAAACTCCCGGAACGCTAGACCCCCAAGAGCCGACAAAGGGGTGGGCATGGGTAGAGTGCTTGAGGTGTTGGGGTTTATAGGGTTTAGGGTTTAGCGGCTCGAGCCTTGTTTGAAGGCTGAGGGGTACCCGTGCTGCGTGTCAACTTGACAACGGCGTGAAGACGCTGCACTGACAAGTTTGAGAACTCTGGCATTCAAGGTTCTCCAAAAAAAGCGAATAGGGGTCGGAATAATTACCAATGGCATTCCCTTATGGTCCCTGTATAATTACACGACAAGAACCCCCAAAAATTCTGTTCGAATTATTCAGGCCCCGATAGTACATCACCCAGCAGACCTAGATAAACCATGAAGCCACAGTATCCTGAAGGCCTTAAACCCTGAACCCTGAACCGTAAACCCTCAATCCTAAACCCTAAACCCTAACCCCTAACCCTTAACCCCTAACCCCTAACCCCTAAACCCTGAACCCTGGCCTTACCTACAAGCACCTTTTGTCTTCCTTCGCTGGAGTCCAGGCGACGTTCTGGTCATCTTCGGCGGTAAGCCCTCAACCCTAAACCCTAAACCCTAAACCCTAAACCCTAAACCCTAAACCCTAAACCCTAAGCAGCATGAGGCATGCACAGGAAAACGATGGATCACCAGCCCCCCGGGCCGTTCTCGTACGCTCAGCGTTGCCTGTGGGGGGGGGGCGCCTGTCTGCGTGGCCGCCAGGTGGCGGCAAGGCGTCTTCGGCGCCTTCCATCAAGGTTTGGGCTCAGGAGCTTGTGGTTTTTGGGATTTTCCGTGTGGACAAGAGGAACCCGAAAGGCTCCTGTGGTCCACATACACGAAAAGGGAAAGGGGGCTAAGGAGTCAGCGTCATGCATTTTAGGGTTCATCTGGACCCCAAATTAGGGGCAGGGTTGGGCGTCCGGATGGTTCTTGATGCTAAACCCTAACCCTAAACCCTAAACCCTAAACCCTAAACCCTAAACCCTAGGATGACCCCATCTTAGGGTAGGGTTTGGGCGTACCCAAAGTTCTTGATGGAGGATGGAGGCAGGGAAGTGCGTCCATGGCCAGCTGATGTAAAACGATCGCTGCAAGGTACAGGGAGCAGCCCTGCCCTCCTCAATCCTGCACAGCGCTGACCCTAAACCCTAAACCCTAAACCCTAAACCCTAAACCCTAAACCCTAAACCCTAAACGTAGGTCAGGAACAGGAGGGAGGGCCGCCCGGGAAACACCTCGTCCCTTGAACTTCAGCCATCGCATGGCGTGAATGTACAACAACAAAGAACAAGAGCTCCATGACACTGGAGGAGGCTCGGGGCCTCAAATCTTTCTTAAGCGACGCCTGTGCGGGTTGAGGTTGAGGCTTCAGGGTTTCCAGGGCTTATACTGGGATGTAGGGTAGGGTTCATTTGACCCAAGGTTTACAGGGCTTGTAGGTTTATAGGATTTATAGAAGACTCCCTACATACGGGCTAAATCTCGAGTTTACGCACGGTTGGGTTTATAGTCAATTGGCCTGTGAGCTTCATGGTCGCCGAGACGAAAGTTTCGAGGCCCCGGCGTGTTCCGTGTTCAGCTTATGCAAAGCACGTGGAGCCTTGGGAAAAACTCCATTTCCTAATCTCCCAAAGCAGGGTGCTCTTGACAGACCCCACAGACACTAGGTCCATGCTTGATAGGGTTTAGGGTTTAAGGTTTAGGGTTTAGGGTTGTTTAGGGTTTAGGGTTTAGGGTTTCGGGTTTCGGGTTTCGGGTTTCGGGTTTCGGGTTCCGGGTTTCGGGTTTCGGGTTTCGGGTTTAGGTTTAGGGTCGGAACCTCCCACCAGAGTACCCCTGTTTTGGGAAACCCCCCCCTCTCTTGCCGGCTCGGTCTTTTGCCTCTTGCGAAACACGTGCTGTCATACGAGGCTGCCTCGCTAGGATGGCCCTTAAAACCCTCTGAAAAATAGATTCCTCAAGATGGTCCTCTAAACCCTAAACCCTAAACCCTAAACCCTAAACCCTAAACCTAAACCCTAAACCCTAAACCCTAAACCCACCTAACTCACCAATCACAAAGGCCGAGTGAAAAAAAAAGTGCCGGAAGATGGAGTCTGGGGAGTCGGGGGTGGGAGCTTGTGAGCTTCCCAGGTCCGGAAAGATCACTTGAAGGGGTATAAGGAGGGACCACTAGAAGAGACCCTTCATCTTATTCCCCTATATAACCCCTATATGTATGCATGTATATATATATATATGCCGTACATAAGTCCCTACGTACCTACGTAGCCCCTATTATAAGCCCCAAGGTCCCTTTTTTAGGGTCCCTCCTTGTGTCTCTGGATCACTGCGGCAGGCTGTCACCTACTTACCCACACCTCATGTTGCACGCAGGCGCCGCTAGGATACACATATTATGAGGGGGTCTCCGAAATTAGGGGGCATTTGTTGGGGTTGCTGACTCTAAGGGAATCCTACTATTTCGCGGGTCTGTATAGTGTCTATATATATATATATATATAAGTTTATGTATATTTATGTTTACTTTTTTAAATTTGTATTTTATTTATGTTTATTTATATATACATACTAGGGGTGCCCCTGATTTCGTAAACCCCGCATGTAACTCTGCGAAGGAGCTGAAACATATTGCGGTGCGCAGCGTGGACGAGGTGACAGGGCTTGTTGATGGCAGCAGGCCCAAGCAGGGCACACCCAAAGGGTCCTAAGTGCTCCTACATACTACTTGGGACTTGCTAAACCCTAAACCCTAAACCCTAAACCCTAAACCCTAAACCCTAAAGCCTAAAGCCTTTGGGCCAGACTGACGATGCGTGGTTGTTGGGGGGAGGATGCGGCCAAGCAAACCATTAGCTCCCTAAGTAACAGTACAGCAGCACTGCTGCTTGATGATGAGTAGGTTTAGGGTTTAGGGTTTAGGGCTTAGGGCTTAGGGCTTAGAGCTTAGGGCTTGGGGCTTAGGGTTTAGGGTTTTGAGTCATATTCTAACAAGGGTGCCCGTATGTTGGTTGGTTGCTTTAGAAGGGAACCTAGAAGTTATACAGTTAAAGGAAAGGGTTAAGGGCACCACTGGGCTAACCAAATAATGATGATGATGATGATGTATGAGCTTGGCTATGAATATGATCCTTTGGGATGTTAACTCCCTTGTACTAACAGTCCTGAAGAGGGATGAAACATAGGGGGTACTAGAACCCCTACTCAGGACTGTTAGGTTTTAGGGTTAGGGTTTAGGGTTTAGGGTTTAGGGTTTAGGGTTTAGGGTTATAAGGGGGAACATCCCAAGTGATCCTCATGATGAGTCGTAGAGCGTTATCAACCGAAACGTGCTCCCTCTCAGCCAAGCTGTTCGGCTCCTAGGCATGACCCGCGAGGTTTAGGGTTTAGGGTTTAGGGTTTAGGGCTTATTAGGGTTTAGGGTTAGGGTTTAGGGTTTAGGGTTTAGGGTCTAGGGTTTAGGTCGTGAAAGCTGAACACGAACTGAGAGCTAGCGTTAACAGCTTGGATTTGTGCTCCCCCCTTAGAAAAAAGACTTTGCCTTGAGCTCAGTTGCTCGCGTTGCCTGGCTCAGTTGGACTGGCGAGCATCTCCTGAGCCAACACCCGAAACCCTAACCCCCTAAAGGTGTCTCAAGGATTCCGTGCTGAGGAGCAGTCGCCGATAGACTCCTAGAACCCTTGAAGCCCCTGAAGCCTTTTGGATGTTAAGTCCCGCAAGCTTCCTGGGTTTAGGGTTTAGGGTTGAGGATTTGCTTTGCGAAGAATTGCTTAAGAACCCCCCCAAAAACAAAGAAAATATTCTTCCTTATAAGGGCAATGTAGGGATGACTACGTTTTGGTTCTTAAGCAATTTCAGTCTGCTAGGAGTAGAGGGCTTAATTTCCAGCCCAAGCTTTATTTGAGCCAGCCGAAGGTAAACAGGCCTTAGACTGCAGCTATCCAAAAGAAACCTCCCAAAAAAGACCTTTCAGTTCAATTAGAGAAGGAGACACTGAGTGCAACCCTAAACCCTAAATCCTAAACCCTAAACCCTAAACCCTATGGCCCTCGCAGGTCAGAGTTGATAGCAAACCAGTAGTTTGTGCACGCTGTACACTTTCTGGTTGAATCCGAGAGTTGCCGAAGACTAGGGCCATAGTAATTGCAAATAAGGTTTTCAGGGTTCCTCGAGTATAATCCGCCGAGGCCGGAGGCCTGAGGCGTTTGGATCCAGGTCTAGGGAACCTTCGAAGGGTTAAAGGGCAATGTGCGCCGCCGAGCTTTTTTCGCCCGGCATGGGGAACCCCGTAGCCGACCAGTGTAGGGTTTAGGGTTTAGGGTTCAGGGTTTAGGGTTTAGGGTTTGGGGTTTGGGGTTTAGGGTTTAGTGTTTAGGGTTTAGGGCCCCCACTCCAACCCCCCCACCCCCGTGAACCTTCCCCTGCCACCCACCCTGCATTAGCCTCGTACCCTTGTGCCGAGGCGGCCTCGCGCCAGCGGTGAAATTATCTAGGGATTACAGGGATTGTATTTGCATGTATTTTGCCCATACTAGACCCAGGAAGGGGCTTATAAGGGAACCTGAGCCCTAAAAATAGGAATAAGGGCCTTCTCTGGGTCCTAGCATGCAGAGTCCCGTGTAGGTCAAGATTAGATAGCTTCGGCCACCTTAAAGCACGAGGCCCAAAACAAATCGCGACAGGTGTCCGACTCGCTTTCGCAAATTTTCTTGGATCACCCGCTACCTTATCGAGGCTTAGTCAGGAGCCCCGGAAGGCAGGGAAGTTTCATGGTCTTGGCTTCAACCAGGAAAGCTTCGAGGGACTACGAAGCGACCCCACTCGCCAAGCTAAGGTCCCGCAAATGGAGGGAGAGGGAACGGGGGATGGAGGGGAAGGGGGGGCTGGATTGAAGAGGAGAAGGGTTTAGGGATTTGAGGGTTTAGGGTTTAGGGTTTAGGGTCTAGGGGGCCCGTTTTCATGAATTCCACACACATGCACCCGGAAGCCCTCAAACGATGGCAAACCCCCGCGGTCGCCTGGTCTCCGTGGCAGGCGTTGCACAGCTCTCCCGACCTGGCTTGAAGTCAGGGATGTTTGATCGTTAGGGGAGGAAATGAACCCTGAAGAAAAAGGATCATGCATCATCTCGAGTGCTGCAAAAATGCCGCCCGCACTTCGGAATCGAACAAATATTCGGGCAATTCATGCATCATTCAATTATACGCAAGAATTCCGAGTGGGGTATATGGACCCATGAACCTCTGAAGGTCCACTATAGACATGCACTGGCACCGTAAAAATCCTGGAATCTGAATATGCCCTATACGACCATAATTTCTTACTGACTGAACCTGCCTCACCGGGAGCCAATAAACCCCATACCTTGGCGAAATGAACTCTACCAGGGATACTATAGTGGTTTAGGGTAGATGATCCAAAATCTCAGGGTTCATGTGGTCCCTAAGGTACTCTACCAGAATCCGTACCGAATGCACCCGAACTCCTGATATACCCTATACTTACATCACCCATCCTGAATGCACCTTGACACCGGGATCCAACACACCCTACCCTTACTAGAAGCATCGTTCCTGATTGAATAGCCTGAAATATCCGAAGCCGGAAGAATCCTGAGTATACTACCGTAGTCCCTACAAAAGAGGTCTGCAGCCTCTCAACATGTCTAGGATTCGTGCTCCAAATAGACGCATTGAAACCCCAAACATTCTGCCTTGGGATGTTCCCCCTTATTTGGGTTTATAGTTACCCCCTTTTGTAATCCCGCTTAAGGACTGCGAATATAGGGGAAACATCCCAACTTCTGCCAACTAATACTGAAGACAAGCCTATCCTCTGTAAAGGACAACAGAGGTCCCCTCCCCCGCCCCCTCCGTTGCTAGTCGGGCGGGACGCCGCTTAAAGACTGACATCAAACGAAGATCCAACAAAGCCCTAAACCCTAAACCCTAAAACCCGAAACCCTAAAATCGACCAAGAGAAACTCATGAAGCTGCGCACCAACAGTACTGCATCGGTGTGGGAATGCTTGAGCTCAAGGTCATCGATGTGCGTCAGAGTCCAGTCCACCTGTGCATGCTTTTCTGCGTTGCCCACCACATGAAGGTTTAGGGTTTAGGGCTTAGGGTTTAGGGTTTAGGGTTTAGGGTTTAGGGTTTCGGGTTTAGGGTTTAGGGTTTAGGGTTTAGGGTTTCGGGTTTAGGGTTTGGGGTTTCGAGAGCGCTGCTTTTCAGGGGCCACTCAACCCACTTTCCCTGACGGATGCAGCCCAGGGCTGACGATCCCAGATTGGCCACATCCCTTTGTCGAATATAGGGGGGCCTTAAGAATTAGAAGAGGGTCTTGGGGGGTACCATGGCATATATATATATATATATATATTATGTAGGGACCCTAAGGGAAGAGCACTTGTGATTCTTAAGTTATTCCGACCCCTCTAGTAACATTACACGGGCAGCCAAGCAGCGCATTCGAGTCAAAACACGGACCCCCAAAACCCCAAACCCCAAACCCAACCTCTCCCATCCTCACCCCCGTCTCTGGGAGAGTGGGGGGAGAGGGGATCCAACCCTCAAACCCTTAAACCCTAAACCCTAAACCCGAAACCTGAAACCCTAAACCCGGAACCCGAAACCCTAAACCCTAACCCTAAACTGAAACTTTTATGAATAAGCGGAGGTTGGGGGAGGTCTAAATCTGTTCTCCTCCACGGCTTTGCTGCCGCTATAGTCCCTGCCAATCGCCACAATTTTGAAGGGCCATTCCTTGCAAGGGCTTGCGCTCCTTAGGGTTTAGGGTTTAGGGTTTAGGGTTTAGGGTTTTGGGGTCTAGGTTTTAGGCTTTCAAGACAAGGTGGACCCCAGTCCTTTGAGAATCGCAGGCAGATGGGCCGATGCGTGAAGTGGACCGTCACTGCTCTCTTGTCTCGGCGCCGGAAAGACAGCACCAGGCTCCCGCTGGCAACCTGACGGGGGCCGAAGAAGCTTTTGGTGCTGTTGGGTTTAGGGTGTAGGGATACCCTAAACCCTAAACCCTAACCCTAAACCCTAAACCCTAAACCCTAAACCCTAAACCCTAGACCCTAGACCCTAAACCATAAACCCTAAACCCTAAACCCTGAACCCTAAACCCTCTGACTTCGTGGCTCCTTCGTAGTTAGTTGGGGAAGTCGGGTGCGCTCCACAATGCCCCAGAGAACGGTGTGTATAGGCGGATCGAGGTCCCTTCGTGTGGGCCCTTAAACGGGACCCCTGATATACCCTCTACAACCCAAGGGCCCATACATCAGAACCCTTTGAAAGGAGGTTAGGGACCCTAAACCCTAAACCCTAAACCCTAAATCCCCGGCCGGCTATGGCTAAGGATGCAGCGCTTTTGGGTTCGGGATGCAGATATAGTGCACCACGCCGGCGTTGGCCTAAACAAATCTTCCTGTGTGGATGTCCGATCCCCAGAGGGGATACCAGACCGAAGAATGACCTAGGAACGAACAGGGGGCCCTTACTTTGGTTTACTAGGGCCTGCAAGGGAACCGAAACCGTAAAGAAAGGGAACCCATTGACTTGAAACTTCCCCAGCCTCAAGTTTTTTCAACTTGCGCGCCGTCCTACTTTGGCGTTTGGGCCGTAAACCCTAAACCCCAAACCCTAAACCCCAAACCCTAAACCCTAAACCCCAAACCCTAAACCCCAAACCCTAAACCCTAAAGGCCACTCCAGATATTCTCCTCGGAGGGGTTGGGCACTCCAGGGACTACTCTGGAGTTGGGCACTCGAGCTCTGGGACCACTCCAGGCACGCTCAGGGTTTAGGGTTTCGGGTTTAGGGTTTGCTGCGGACACGCGTGACGGGTGAGGAGTAGACCCCGCGAGGAGAAGAGTTTAGCTACCATGCAGAAGAGCTTAGCTTAACATCTCCCCACACCGAGGGAAGGGAACAAGCCCAAACCCTAAACCCTAAACCCTAAACCCTGAACCCTAAACCCTAAACCCTAAACCAAACCCTAAACCCTAAACCCTAAACCCTAAACCCTAAACCCTAAACCCTAAACCCTAAACCCTAAACCCTACACCCTAGCGGGCCTCTTGAGACTTGTTCTCCAGCTCGAGCGGGGTCCCTAAGGTCGTCGCTCGGGCCCATTTCCTCTGGATCGTGGCGGAGCTATCCTGCAGAAGGCGGGGGTTCCAGCTTCTAGGCTCAAGTTGGGCACCAAGCTTCAGGTTTAGGGTTTAGGGTTTAGGGTTTAGGGTTTAGGGTTTAGGGTTTAGGGTTTAGGGTTTAGGGTTTAGGGTTTAGGGTTTAGGGTTTAGGGTTTAGAGTTTAGGGTGTAGGGCTTAGGGTTTAGGGTCTAGGGTTTAGGGGTTTAGGGGTCTAGGGGTCTAGGGGTTTAGGGCTTTAGGGTTTAGGGGTGTAGGGGTGTAGGGGTGTAGGGGTTTAGGGGTTTAGGGGTTTAGGGGTTTGTGGGTTTAGGGGTTTAGGGGTTTTAGGGGTGTAGGGGTGTAGGGGTTTAGGGGTTTAGGGGTTTAGGGGTTTAGGGGTTTAGGGCTTAGGGGTTTAGGGGTTTAGGGGTCTAGGGGTTTAGGGGTTTAGGGGTACAGGGAACGGGATCTCGGGGAAGCAGTTGTCGGGGCATCTGGAGCAGCTAGGGGTTTAGGGGTGTAGGGGTGTAGGGGTGTAGGGAGTTTAGGGGTTTAAGGGTTTAGGGGTTTAGGGGTTTGGGGGTTTAGGGGTTTAGGGGTTTAGGGGATTAGGGGTTTTAGGGGTGTAGGGGTGTAGGGTGTAGGGGTGCAGGGGTTTAGGGGTCTAGGGGCTTAGGTGAACCCTCACGTTGGGGTCATCTCTACCCCTACACTGCCATAATCCCCTGCTTTTGGGTCCGTGGGCCCCTAAACCCTCAACCCTAACACCCTAAAACCCTAAACCCTAATCCCCTAATCCCCTAATCCCCTAAACCCTAAACCCTCAAAGCCAAGGGGGCCATGAACCCTGTTGGGCTCAACTTCGTCCCTAGGCTTTGGGATCCCGATTCTTCATAACACTGGCAACACAAACTCCAGACGTTGCGCGCTCAAAGGCCCCCAACCCAGTTGGGGCTTAGGGCTTAGGGCTGAAGCTGTTGAAGGCTTATAGGGCTTAGGGTTTAAGGTGCAGCTCGTTGCCGTTTAGGGTTTAAGGTTTAGGGCTTAAGCAGCTTAAGCTTTAGGGCTTAGGGTTTAATTAGGGCTTAGGGCTTAGGGTTTAAGGTTTAAGGTTTAAGGTTTAGGGCTGAGGGTTTATGGGTAGCTGCCTGCCTCTTGAAGGTTGGGTGGTGGTTCCGTGGTCGCCGACGACATCTGGGGCGAGGTTGTGGCGGGCGCCGAGAGAGAAGGCTCGGTTCTTCCCTGCCAAGGATGGTTCAGGGTTTAGGGTTTAGGGTTTAGGGTTTAGGGCTTAGGGCTTCGTGCTTTAGTTCTCTAAACTTTCAAGTGTCGAGTATGCAGGGTGTTCATCTGAACATGTTTCCCTTTTTTGGGGTGGTGTTGGGGGGGAGGGGGATGGTTTGCGATCAATTCAGACCGGGATGGACTAGTTTCGGGCTCGGGATGTCCTGCAGCTCGTTGCCGTTTAGGGCTTAAGGTTTAGGGCTTAAGCAGTTTGAGGTTTAGGGTTTAGGGCTTAGGGTTTAAGCTTTGGGGCTTAGGGCTTAGGGCTTAGGGCTTAGGGTTTAGGGTTTAGGGTTTAGGGTTTAAGGTTTAGGGCTGAGGGTTTAGGGTAGCTGCCGGCCTCTGGAAAGTTGGGCGGTGGTTCCGTGGTCGCCGACGACATCTGGGGCGAGGTCGTGGCGGGCGCCGAGAAAGAAGGCTCAGTTCCGGCCTGCGAAAGCTCTTTAAAGGTTTAGGGGGGGGGGGGGGGTTTAACCTTTGAAGTGCGGAGTGAGCCAGGTCTTCCTTTGAACACATTGCCATTTTTGGGGTGGCTTTGGGAGGGAGAGGAACAGGTTAACGATCAATTCAGACCGGGATGGGCTAGTTTTGTTAGGCTGGCCATACGCTCCCGATACGCTTTCTAGACAGCGGAAACAGATTTGCAAGGCGCGTCGACGCAATCGCGAGGCTGTTCGCAAACTCACTTAGAGCTTGCTTTAGGGTTCATGGGGTCCCTCTTTGGGGAAGGATGGCCTATTAATTCCGAGCCGGCGCCTACTTCTGAGGCCAACCCTAGAAAACCCGCCGGGCATTCTCGTCGTGAGTTGCCTCTTAAAGGGCTAGGCTGCCCAGTAACCTAGGCTTAAACAGGGTGCCCTTTTTGGCTTAAAGGGGTTTATAAGGGAACCTAAACCCCCAAAAAGGGAATAAGGGTACTACTGGGCATCCTAGAGGGTGTTGGAAGCATGGTACTGCTTCTTCTGGAACCAATACTTAGCGGGGTGGCCCGTTGATTTGGATTTGGTAAATTTAATTTCTCCCGGTGAGAACGTTGCATGGTGCATGGGGTCGTGGTGTGGTGTTTACAAGCTGCGGTTTCATTAGGAGGGGGCTGGCTTTTCGTCGTATCTATTGAGGCAGTGGAAGAATCGGACTTGTGAAACATTGTAGAACGTTCTTTCCAAGGCATTTTACTACGCCAGATATGTTGTAGTTTAGCGACTGCTGCTGCTACTATTTGCTTAAGAACCCCAAGAGAACAAAAAACATAATCCCTATATTCCCCTTCATAAGGAAGAATATATCCTATTTTTTTGGGAGGGGGGTTCTTATATAATTAAGCAAATAGTAGGCTGCTGCCTTCTCCCTCTGTGCCTTCTGGCTGATGCCGGCGGGGTAGTAGGGGACCATGGTACCCAGATACTTACTTTGTATAGCCGTGCTGACCTTGTCTCCGTTTGCAAATGTATGGTATCCTCCTTTTCTTGTCGGACCAGTAGCTCCGTTTTGTCAGCATTTAGCGGCCTAAACCCTAAACCCTAAACCCTAAACCCTAAACCCTTGTGTCGGCCGTTTAGGGCTGAGGGTTTAGGGCCGCTGCGGGCCTCTTGAAGGTTGGGCGGTGGTTCCGTGGTCGCCCCCGACTTCTGGAGCGAGGTCGTGGCGGGCGCCGAGACAAAAAGCTCAGTTCTGGCCTGCGAAGGCTCTTTAAGGGTTTAGGGTTTAGGGGTTTAGGGGTTTAGGGGTTTAGGGTTTAGGGTTTAGGGTTTAGGGTTTAGGGTTTAGGGTTTAGGGTTAGGGTTTAGGGTTTAGGGTTTACGGCTTAGGCTTCTCGACTTTAAAGTGCAGAGTGAGCCAGGTTTTCATCTGAACATACTTCGAGTATTGGAGGTTTTGGGGGGGGAGGGGACGTTTGCGATCAATTCAGCCAAAACCCCATACCCTAAGGCCCCCCCCCCTCCCCGTTTAGGGCTTAGGGTTCAGGGCTTAGTACACTCGATGTTTACGCTGTTTTTTTTGTGTATTTGTTCATGGTTCTTTATTTATTCGCTCTCTCTCTCTCTCTCTCCAGCTCTCTCTCTCTCTCTCTCTTTCTGTCTCTCTCCCGCTCTCTCTCTCTCTCCCGCTCACTCTCTCTGTCTCTCTGTCCCCTTCTCTCCCTCTCTCTCTCTCTCCTGCTCCCTCTCTCTCTCTCTCTCTCTCTCCTGCTCACTCTCTCTCTCTCTCCCGCTCACTCTCTGTCTCTCTCTCTCTCTCTCTGTCCCCCTCTCTCCCTCTCCTTCTCCCGTTGTTCATTTTCTTTCACTAGGGGCGTGGAAGAGTCGCCCCTCCAGTGTTACAAGCAAAGCTATACAGGTCAGGTTCGGCGCCGCACGCCATGCCACTTCTTGGGTCCAGCCAACTCCTCCCCCCCTTCCGCCCCGGCACTGCAATCGGTCAAGGGTTTAAGGTTTAGGGCTTCTGGAGAAGCCTGTACCCACCTCGAAGGGTTTAAGCCGCTCAAGCCATTAAAGAAGAGAGAGAGAGAGAGAGAGAGACAGAGAGTGCCCCTTGGGGCAGCTCTCCCTCCGGGGGCGGCTAAGAATGTAGAGAGAGAGAGAGAGAGAGACAAAGAGAGGCGGAGGAATTGGCACAAAGGACTTTGGGGGTTGGGGCGGTTCGGAGGATTTGGGGCAGGCAGGTTCCTCCCGCACTGCGGGCGCACCCTTGCTTGGTCTGTCGGCTGAGTTTTGCAGATCGATGCAAAGCGTCGCAGGCCAGAGTTGGCAATGAGTCTGAGAGGGGTAAAAATGGTAGGGAAAAGCGGGCTTTCTCGCCGGTTCTGGTTCTGATGTCCACGCAGAAATCGCTCTAGGTTCAAGGCCCAAACTCTTTCTGTGATCTTCGCTCCCAAACCCTTCACATTTGGATGTTCCCCCCTAGACTAACAGTCCTGAATAGGGACTATAGTACCCCCTATGATAATGTCTTTTAAGCAGCTAAACCTTAAACCCTAAACCCTAGACCCTAGACCCTAAACCCCAAACCCTTCACAGCTTTTGGCCTCTTGCAAGAATTTCTCCAGCTCGAGCGGGGTCCCGAGAGTCGTCGCTCGGGGAATTTTCCTCTCCGTCTTGGCGGAGGTGTCCTGCAGGAGGGTGTAGGGTTTGGGGTTTAGGGTATAGGGTTTAAGGGTTTAAGGGTTTAAGGGTTTAAGGGTTTAAGGGTTTAAGGGTTTGAGGGTTTGAGGGTTTGAGGGTTTGAGGAATTGAGGGTTGAAGGGTTTAAGGGTTTGAGGGTTTAAGGGTGTAAGGGTTTAAGGGTTTAAGGGTTTAAGGGCTTAAGGGCTTAAGGGCTTAAGGGCTTAAGGGTTTAAGGTTCACGGCTTTGGGGTTTATGGTCTACAAGAGGCATGGGACCTCGTTTCGGCGCGATAGGCTTATGGCCCTCGCCGCAGCTGGCCAAGCTGGACATCACCAGGCAGGCCCTACTTACGACCTTCTTAGTAGCCCAGCAACCATATTAACCTAAGGGCACCCTGTTTTTTTGTTAGTTACTTCAGAAGGGAACCCAGAACCAAAAAGGGCTACCAAGACTTTCAGGGCTACCAAGACTTCAATCATAGGGGATAGGATTAGGGGGACCCTTGGGGATATAGACCCTCTGAATAAGGTCCCTGCTTTAAGAGAGCCAGAAGAGGGTTAAGAAGGGGTTCCCTTTTAAGGGTCCCCCTTATCCCACCTAGGAAAACAGCCACCCCCCCAACCACATCTTTGGCAACAAGCGACAGCCCATCCTCGGAACGCGTGTTCGCTTCCTGGGCGTGTTGAACGTAGCCAGGCGAGGCACCTCTCTGCGATCAGCCCTAAACCCTAAACCCTAAACCCCAAACCCTAAACCCTAAACCCTAAACCCTAAACCCTAAACCCTAAACCCTAAACCGCACGCATTGGGTTGGGCCCGAAACCCGACTCCCAAACCCCAAACCCGAACCACCAAACCCTAAACCCGTGCAAACTGTCAACCCAATGTCCTTAGAATCCTGTCAACGCATCCTTACAAGACCTACCAACTTCTTGAGCTTCAATTCCAGTAAGTCCCTAACCCTAAACCCTAAACCCTAAACCCTAAACCCTAAACCCTAAACCCTAAACCCTAAACCCTAAACCCTAAACCCTAAACCCTAAACCCTAAACCCTACCTAGCTAGCTGTCGGACAGTTCTGCCTGGCAGGATCATGTTCGACTTGATCTGAGACTTGCTCGCCTTCGCCGACCAAGGTGGAGAGGGTCAACACACAGACACCGTTAATACTACTCATGACCCTAAACCCTAAACCCTAAACCCTAACCCCTAACCCCTACACCCTAAACCCTAAAGCCTAAAGCCTAAACCCTAAACCCTAAAGGCCCTAAACCCTAAAGGCCCTAAACCCTAAACCCTAAACCCTAGATTCCCAGGGGTACCTTTTTGGGGGAGGTCTGAGCCCAAGATAATCCGCAGCCCAAGACGCAACTCTCCTGAGTTTCACGCCCAGGGTCGGCGGATCTCGCTTGGCCATCACTTGGGGATCGTACCTATCCCCCCCCCCCCCCCCCCCCCCCCTTAGAACCTTAAGAAAAATGATACTTTTAATATCCTCTTGGGTAACCCTAAACCCTAAACCCTAAACCCTAAACCCTAAACCCTAAACCCTAAACCCTAAACCCTAAACCCTAAACCCTAAACCCTAAACCCTAAACCCTAAACCCTAAACCCTAAACCCTAAACACAAATATAAAATAATTCCCAAGGGGGACATGGGTACAGCTCGACATCCTCCTTGGGCATCCTAAGGTTCAGATCCACTTCGGCTCGGACGACCTCCTCTCCAGCGGCATGGTCCAAGCCAGACCACCAGTCGGCGGCGCAGAACATGAACATTGCAAAACAAAAAAACAAGCCTATGGCTCTTCAAGCTCGTGAAAGCCACAAACACGCTGCAGGTGGTGAAGGGGTTGGTGGGCTGCCGGCACAAGGCAACCCTGCGTGCTTGCGCAAGCCACACGAAGTGCAGCTTGCATGCTCACTGCACATGCCAGTAGCTTGGGGACTGCATGAATACAAGGATTCATGACCCACATACCCAGAATAGAGGTTAAAGTAGTAGTATTGGGTGCATGATCCCAATTGCAGTGCTTGTCTGGTCTCCAAGGTATACATCACGGAAGCATCCACTGCGAGACAGCGGCCCCGAGCATTCCGACAATGAGGCCTTGCAGGGAGGCACGGAACACTTTGTGAGTTGGGACATAAAAATGCATGCATACATACCTATGTTACATACATGCATATGTTGCTGTTAGCATTTAGGGATCAGGGTTTAGGGTTTAGGGTTTAGGGTTTAGGGCTATTCCTGTCATCTTGGGTCTTGAGGGTTTAATTCTGGCTTGCGGGTTCAGGGGCGAGAGCCGCTGGACATTCTTCATGCTTTTCTTATTGAGGGAGGGGTGGGGAGGGGGGTCGGGTAGGGTTAGACTGGCAGGAACCACACCAGCCCCCCTACCCCCCCCCCCCCCCCCCCCGCTGCGTTCCCGCCCCCCCCCCCCCCCCCCCCATGAGTTATGGAGAAGTGCAAACCCGAAGCCCTCTAAACCCTGAACCCTGAACCCAAAGCCCGGCACCCTCAACCCCAGACCTGAGCATCCCGGATCCCTGTCACAACCCCGAGTACCCTAGGCCGAGCAACTTGCCTGGCACGTCGCCGCGCTGCCAACACTGCTTCAGACCACGCTGCCTGACATCAGGATCGCACCCTTCGTTAGCTGCCACCTAGGGGTTTAGGACTAGGATTTAGGGTTTAGGGTTTAGGTTTTAGGGTTTAGGGTTTAGGGTTTAGGGTTTAGGGTTTAGGGTTGCACAAATAGTAGTAGCCCCAAAAAGGGACCATAGTTTAGAGAAGCGACCATATGCAAATCGGCTGAGAGCAAAGCAATGTTCGCACAACTCTCTGCTTTTCACGGGCTCGGACCAACTTCAAACGGCTTCAACACCCACACGGGTGGCTGGGGCATCAGCTGAAGCAACAAACGCAAACATACGGACAAACAGCAAGACACACAACACATAACACACAACACACAACACACAACACGCAACACACAACACACAACACACAACACGCAACACGCAACACACAACACATAAACACACAACCACAACACACAACACACAACACACAACACGCAACACGCAACACACAACACACAACACACACGCAACACACGCAACACACGCAACACACACACACACACACAACACACAACACACACACAACACACACAACACACAACACACACACACACACACACACACAACACACACAACACACACAACACACACAACACACACACACACACAACACACACACACACACATGCGCGCGCACACACACACACACACACACTCTCTCTCTCTCACACACACATATGCGCGCACGCACAGTCTCTCTCTCTCTCACACACACACTCGCACACCCTCGCACACTCTCACACACTCTCACACACCCTCACACACCCTCACACACTCTCACACACTCTCACACACTCTCACACACTCTCACACACTCTCACACACTCTCACACACTCTCTCTCTCTCACACACTCTCTCTCTCTCACACACACACACACACCCACACACACACCCACACGCACACGCACAAGCACACGCACCCGCACTCGCACCCTCACTCGCACCCTCACTCACTCATTCGCTCACTCACTCACTCACTCACACACAGGGTACCCCCCCACAAGAGGTGCAACTGTAGACCCCCACATGTGCCAGCAACTTGCCTTTCGGCACGAGATCTTCGGGCTGGGGCAGTCTACATTGGCTTTCGGAAAAGGGACGCAAGTCTGGCAAAAACCCTAAACCCTAAACCCTAAACCCTCAAAGGAGAACTCTCCAGCGGCTCCTCTCCAGTCGTCTCCTTTACTAAGAACTTGAACCATGCAACTTAAGTACCTCAACAGAAAGGAACGACAATTTGACCAGGATGGCCCTTAAGACCATCTGCAAAGGGTTTAGGGTTTAGGGTTTAGGGTTTAGGGTTTGGGAATATGATCCTCTTAAACCCAACAACACTGCAAATGCAAAATGCCCCAAGTGCCTACCTAGTAGAGGTTTGTGTGTGAACACTAAGCCCGAAATCGCTCTCAGCAGAAGCCACACGCCTACAAAGGTCCCCAAGCGCCGTGATCGCGACGGCAAACACCGGTGTCGATCCGACCTCCATACAAGTTTCGGGTTTCGGGTTTAGGGTTTAGGGGTAGCTGCTGGGAAAATCTTGACTGAGTGGTGCTTCAAAAAGCCCTTTGAAACATCATTTATGAATAGGTTTCCTTAAAAGGAAAAAAGAATGAAGGGAAACTGAAGATCATCCTGAAGCACTACCCAGATGGGGGATTGGAAGGTGTGAGTGTCCGCATTTTGACGATGTGTGTCATCGCGGGTTCATCGTGGACAAGTGTTTTTTAGGTTCCAGGGTGGGGGCTTGAAAATGGCCAGTGCCTGAACCCTAAACCCTAAACCCTAAACCCTAAACCCTAAACCCTAAACCCTAAACCCGAAACCCTAATGGGACAATCAGCCTGCATAACCAGACATGTCGTGTCTGCTTCAACAAGATGGACAGCGGACAGGTTCAACCACAGGGAAAGTTACCAAAGTACCCTGAACCCTAAACCCTGAACCCTAAACTGAAACCCTAAACCCTAAACCTAAACCCCAAACCCCTAAACCCTGGCGGGGAAGACCTTCTGCCCTTCCGGTGCTTCTTATTCGAAAACGGAGACTCAGATTTGCGCATCCCAAGGTCCTTAAGGGCAGGGTGTGAGGATGTAGGGAACTTAAGCCTCCACCCTAAACCCTAAATCCTAAACCCCAAACCCTAAACCCTAAATCCTAAACCCCAAACCCTAAACCCTAAATCCTAAACCCTAAACAACCCTTCACTCTAAACCCCAAACCCTAAACCCTAAACCCTAAACCATGAATGGATGGGCGGAAGAGATCTCGTCTTGCGGCCCAGCCACTAATGCGGAGGCGGCACTCACGTTGATGCCCATGCTCCTCAGCGCCGGCCCTCAACCACTCAGGTTTCAGGGTTTTAGGGTTTAGGGTTTAGGGTTTAGGGTTTAGGGTTTAGGGTTTAGGGTTTAGGGGCGAGATGAATCGCCAGAAGTGCTGGCAGTGGGCCGTCTATGAACCAGAATTCCCAACCCCAAACCCTCAAAGTCCCTTTTTCTTCGTTGAACTTGGAGGGTCCCCTATGCTCGTAAACCCCCACTTGTTGCACCTCTCACAAAATACAACTTCAGCACGCGAGTGGAAGGGATCTTGGGCGTTGGACTTCTCATGCAGACCCCTTGAAGACCCCAAACCCTCCCAAAGGATCCAGACTCTGCTTGGTGGATGATGGAACTCGCCACACGGAGGGGTAGAGGCCACGAATTTGAGATGTCCGGGCACTATCACGGGTACTACTACCACTCCCACGACGACGACTACTACGACTACTTCTACTACCACGATTCCCAGGTATTGCACGCACCACCATTGTTGTCATTTCTTTGAACGATGATTACCAATACTTGCCAAGAATACTTCTGATCCTTGATTTTGAACAAAGAATCGTAGCAGTCATCGTTAAACATAATGCTTGTTGTGATTAGTAGCCAGCAAGAGTACTAAACCAGTCGCGATCATACGCATGATCATAACGGTGATGACACATCGTACTAGTATTAGCAATTGGACCGCCTCGGTCATCCTTCTTATGGCGCAGTTTAGGGTTTAATGTTTAGGGTTTAGGGTTTAGGGTTTAGGGTTTGAGCTTTTTCTATTCTGGTTCCTGCAGCCAGGCACAGCGCTGCGGCAAACAGCGTGTAGGGCAGGACGGTGTTGCAAACCCCCACGCATGCCAGCTTCTTCACTTCCTGATCAGACACCCGGAAGGAGTCTGGAGAGCTAAGGTTTAGGGTTTAGGGTTTAGGGTTTAGGGTTTAGGGTTTAGGGTTTAGGGTTTAGGGTTTAGGGTTTAGGGTTTAGGGTTTAGGGTTCAGGGTCTAGGGATCAGGGTTTAGGGCTTAGGGCTTAGGGCTTAGGTGCGGGTATGGCGGTTGGTGTTTAGGCTTTCGAGGACCTGGGTTTGGGCGCACGGCTCGATCTGAGCATTCTGACCGAACCTTGGCCCTCTAAGAACCTAAGATCCACGCAGAGAATCTCTGACCCTCCTTGCAGGATGTGGTTGAGGAACCCTGAACCCTAAACTCTATAACCCGAACCCTTGCACCCTAAAGCCCATGAACCCGAAACCCCTCAAAACATGCCCGCGCGTTGCTCAGAAACGTAGCTCTCCTTGAAGAACATAAGAAGCCCAAAGGAGCAAACGCAAGAACAATAGCAACTACCACGTCGAAAACCCCCACCTTGTGCCTCCAGCCCAACTGCAAGTATCTTACGTTGCCGTGTGGGGAAGGGGGTGCCTAATGAAACGCTGGAGTAACCAAGGAACAACAAAGGGTGCCCTCTTTGCAAGGGGAACCAAAACCCCTAAAGGGGAATCAGGGTCTGCTCTGGGTCCTAGCTACTTAATAAGAGACACGCACGCCCCCGGCATTCAGCGAAACATCCCACCGAAAAAGCACTGAAACCGCAAAGTATTGAGGAACAGTCCCCTAAGTATTGAGGGGATGGCCCTCGAGGAAACTAAACCAGCCAGCCGTTTCACGCCTCCTTGCAAAATCCTTTGCCCCAGAAATCCTGAACCCTAAACCCTAAACCCTAAACCCTGGAAAAACTCCCCTCCACCGCAAGTCAGAGGCTTGCCACCTCTCGATGGAGCATGCAGAGCTCTCCAGGCAATGCGCAGGCCTGCGTC